ATATAATCAGGAAAGTGTTGGCCTGTGCGGAAGCAGATAGGCTCACCCTTGAACTTAAAAATAAATCAGAATATTTTGAAGTCTGGAACAGATTTTATGACTGGTATAAGACAAGATGACAAGACTGGAACAAACTGCATACATTGTGATTGGACAGAAGGGTTGATAATGTATTAAGTAGGCTGTCAATGTTTGAGACTAGCTGTATATAATGTGAAGGTATGGCCACTTCGACTTTGCGGCACTGCATTGTTTTAAATGTACAAATAATAAAAATATATTGGTGTGGGGGGGAGAAAAAGTGCAGGGAGGAGCAACTAGGATGATTCAAGGCCTGTTTGGCCAGTCTGGAGAAGAGAAGGACCAGAGGGGGACCTGATAGCATTCCAGTATTTGAGCGGCTGTTGCCAAAAAAGAAGGTGTTTTGCAACCTCTTCTCCGAAGCACCTAAAATCAAGAGAACAAGGGATGAAAACTCCTCAAGGAGAGAAGAAAACAGGAATTGAGGAGAAACTCAGAAAAATTGACCAGTGGAACTGCTTGCCACCAGAAACTGTGGGTGCTTCATCGCTGGATTGTCTGCCTGAACCGGCACAGCGTCTCCTGCTTGGGAACAAGGGGTTGAACAGATGACCTCCAAGATCCCTTCCAGCTCGGTTTCAGGTTCCGCCCTCCGTCCTGCCGAAGCGCTGCAGGCCCGCGAGCAGGCGGAAGGGGGCTCCTCTTGACGATTCGTACGTCCGCCCGGCGTCACGTGTCCTGCGGAGACCGCCGCTCTAGCCCGCCCGCAGCCTGGCAGGGCGTCGCTCGGAAGCTACGCTCGCACTTCCGCCGCGCGGCGCCTTGTGGGAAAGCTCGCTCGCCTCCTCTCCCCCCAAGATGGCTGCGGTGGCGGCGGCGGCGGCGAGGAGCCTGGCGCGTTCCCGGGGCCGCTTCCTGGTCCCGGCCCTGCCCGGAGGGCCCCATCCGCGGGTATGGCCGGGCGGCGCGGGCGGCGCGCGCCGGTCCCCCCCTCCCGC